CCTGAGCCGCTGGGGGAGGGCGGGCGGGATAGGGAGGGGCCCCAGTCGGCCCCTGCAGGGGAGGGTCAGTAGCCCAGAAGGGGCAGCTCCCTGGGCAGCCGCGGTCTGGGCGCCACCAGCAGGTAGCCCTGTGTGGTCCCAGTCGGCCAGGTGTCAGAGAAGATGGAAGTGTTTGAAGCCAGGACCTCGACCAGGTGTCCTCTGAGTTCTCCATGAGAGCCCCGCTTGGAGCCTTCGGGGGACAGGCCGCTGGACAGGCTGCAGGACTGTTCCCCTGTCGGGAATGAGCAGCCCCGTGTCTCAAGAAGACACTCACCTGGGGGTCAGGAACCTGGCTCTTGTCCTGCCCCCAACCCTTCCCATGCCTGGCCTTCCACCGCCCAAGCCTCAGTTTCCTCACCTGTGGAAGAAGTGGCGATGCCACCTCCCAGGACGGCCGTGGGGACTGTGTGAAAGCCATCGTGAGGAGGCTTACCCAGCACCTGGGACCTCACCTGCCACTCAGGGAAGAGACCACTGACCTTGGCCTTCAGCGACCTTGACCAAGAGAGGAATCCTGCTCCAGACTCAAGAGTCCCTGCCACAGGGTACCTCTCTGTGCCTCTTTTCTGTAAACTCACCCCATGCCACCCCACTCCCTGCCACAAAGACAAACCAACCATGAACCGTACCCTTGGCGACCCCGCCACATGCGCGTCTGTGTGTCCGGGGCTGCAGGGCTCCTGAGTGGGGATGTGGTGCGAGCATCGCGGCCTGGGCCCTCCGCTGTGGGGCCGCCTGAGCTGGGGCTCTGGCCTCCTGGGTCAGCGCTTGAGAGACCAGAAGCGGGGCATCCCTGGGGAGCAGGGCGGGGCAGGGGGATGCAGATAGCTGCAGGCCCCTGGCCCCTGAGTGTCCAAGTAAGGAGGTACCATGTCAAGTTCAAAGGGAGATCAAGTCACATGACCTTCTCTCCAGCATCTTGGGTTTAATGAGGACAAGTGTTTGTTGTTTAAGGGAAAGTTTATTGAAATTTCCACCACTACCAAGCGATTCCTTCTCTGTATTTAGTTTTGTTTTTCTGACGTGCTCACCCGCTGGTCAGGCCAGCCCCAGGCCGGGACCGGTCACCATGACCGTGGCCAGCCCCAGCCACGCTTCCTGCTCTCGGATTCCACCGCAAAGTAAATAAAAAGTATTGACAACAGGCGTGAGCTGCAGGGGACGGGCCGGCGGGTTTGTTGGGTCGAAATGCAGCCGGCTCTGGTGCCCGGCAGCGAGGACCCCATGGAAGATTGGGGCTGTTTTGGGGGGGAGTGGAACTGGTGGGGGGCAGGG